TTAAACCGCCGAAGAAACTGAGTAACTCGACGCTCGCAGTACCGCTGATGGATGGAAAAGGGAACGGAGGCTTTGAGTAATACAGGCGGGGGAAGAAAAAAAAGTTGGACAAAAGCACATTGTTGTTGTTACATTAATCTGGATACAAGAATGGGAATTTTCCTCCTCATTATGATCACACGCTGCTGGGCAAGCGGCTCCATTTTCTTCCCCCACCGTGCCCTGGCAGCTCGAAGCATCCCTGCTGAGGCGGCTTCCTCACCGTGATGAGTTTTTGACAGGCTTTACAGCCGTGCCAGGCCAGACAGTGGCTGAGCAGAATGTTGGCAGTTTTTTGGCGGTTATAATCTCCTCATCTCTCTTGCTCCGTGCTTTTGAGACGGACCAGCTATCACATAATTGTTATGCAAACTTCTTAGAGCAACAGTTTGTTTAAGCACATGTGGACTATTATTTGAAATGATACAATTTTTCCCCAGGGGCCAGTTGCATAAACTGTTTAGACTAGTCTTAAAAAGTTAGTCACCTAATTTGTTTTCTTCAAGACTGGTCATAACTTTTTTAATTCAGTTATGAAAAGGTAGATTGTTCCTATTTTTATTGGAAAAGTAAGACTGATTACTACCCCTTGGCAACTGCTAGTTGGTCAAACTAGTTCTTAAGACACAGTCTTAACATGGTGGCTAAGTTTATGCAACTGGCTAACTTAACTGGTAACAGATCTGCTAGAGTTCTGGAGGATCGTCTAGAGAACAAACATTATCTTCTGCAGGTGTAAACCCCACTCTGGGAGATATTATATAGTTATTAGAGCTCTGAGCTAAACATACAACTACAATTTCAGCATACATGTGTATCAAATTACCCATTACACTTTTAAGTTGATTTAGCTAGTGAAATGAATGGCAAAAAGCTGAAGCCACTAATGGCAACAAAATGATGCTGAATCATTTCAGTGAGCTCACATCAGTAAATTGCACTAAATAGCAATATAAGAAATATCTGATGGTTGAGAATAATTGCATTAAAAACCTCTTCAGACAAAAAAAAAAAAAAAAGAAATATGAACCCTCTCAGTCTAAATGACTGAAATAGAGGGTTTTGTTCAGCATGTGAAACACAGAAGCACTGCTGCCATCTGCTGTCTGCTCAAGGAAACAATTTCGGCTTAATCCTTTAAGGACAGGACACAAGTAGAATACAAAGTGGCTAAATAACCGCTTCTAGTTTCACTTTAATCGATGTCATGCATCCACTCATCTCAATTTAAAAATTGAAATTCTCTCATCATTTAATCACCTTCATATTGATCCAACTTCCAGACTGTCTTCTGCAGAAGCAGCGAAACACAAAATATTAAAACAGATTAGGTAAATGATAACAGAATTTTCATTTTTAAACTGAGATAAGTGGATGCATGACAGGGGAAGCTAGAAGCATGACTATATAGTCACTTTGTATGCTGTATTCAATTTTTATTGAACGTGGTACGATAGCAGAATCTTCAATCAATAACTACCTTAGAGTGCTATGTAAAAAACAAAGTATGACAATATGGTAATCACTGAAATCCAGGATGTATTTCAAAGTACTATATGGCATTACTATCTGAAACGATCATGGTGCCATGGTACCACCACAGTATTTTTTGCCAGGGTTGTTAGTAAATTCAAGCAATAAAGAGAGCAGAGAGAAGCATTCTCGCTCCTTTTTTGTGCACTTAAGATATTCCCGTCGTATTCACATGGACTTGAGGGAGCAGATGTGAGGTCGTCATGTCTTTCCTGATCATATGACCACATTGCTGGAAAACATCAGGAATGATATGAAGTGTTTCTTCAACAGCACCCTCATTTACAACATTTCCATTTAATCCAGACATCTCTACAGCCAACAGTCAATATTGAGGTTTCTCATCAAGCACTGACACACCCTCTCCTTCCTGCATTAGCAACCACTGTATCATAACCACACTCGACCCAAAGATTTGAAAGCAAATGTATTGATTAAAAAACTGAATCATTGTCATTGTCTTAATCAGCCTATATCCGGCAGTAAAAATAGGATGACTTCTTAGTTAGTTAATTGGTTTGCAACTAAGCACTGTATAATTATTTCTATCAAAACCAGAACTACAACTACAGAACTACACAATGACATGGTTGAATGTAATGTAATCTAAATTAAAACATTAGAGCAGTGGTTCTCAACCAGGGGGCCCTAGACAAACTTTCAGTTTAAACTTAAAAGGGATAGTTCACCCAAAAATTAAAATTCTGTCATTAATTACTCACCCTCATGTCGTTCCAAACCAGTAAGACCTTCGTTCATCTTCAGAACACAAATTAAGATATTTTTGATGCATTCTGAGAGCTCTCTGACCCTCCCATAGACAGCAATGTAATCAACACGATCAAGGTCCAGAAACGTAGCAAGGACATCGGTAAAATAATCCATGTGACATCAGAGGTTCAACCATAATTTTACGAAGCTAGGAGAATACTTTTTGTACGCAAAGAAAACAGAAATAACGACTTCATTAAACAATTCGTCTCCTCCGCGTCACCCTAGCGCCATTTCGGAGAGTATCCACTGAACGCAAACAGCGTATGCTGGAGACGAACTGTTGAATATAGTAGTTATTTTTGTTTTCTTTGTGTACAAAAAGTAATCTTTAGCTTCATAAAATTACGGAGTCAGAGCGCTCTCAGAATTCATCAAAAATATCTTAATTTGTGTTCTGAAGATGAACGGAGGTCTTACGGGTTTAAAACGACATGAGGGTGAGTAATTAATGACAGAATTTTAATTTTTGTGTGAATCTATAACTTAAAATATTATAAAACAAAAACATTAAAAATAAAGATATACAACATTAAACTGAAAATATAAGTTTGATTTATTACAACAGAAGTAGAAGAGGTACATATCTGATTAGATAAAAGGGCCTTCGAAAACTGTCTTGGAGAACGGGGGCCTTGGAGCCAAAAAGTTATGCATTTGGGTATGTGACCTGCTCTGAGTCTCATTAGAGCTCAGATTTACTGAGAAACTAGATCTAGAGTAGACAGAGAAAAGGCTAGGGAGAGGAACAAAGACAGATTTATGTCTCAAAGCAGTGATGAATCAAAATGCCTTTAAATAAGATAAAGTAGCAAGAGAAATGCGTTATTCCAACTTTATTCTACCCTGCATAATTAGCTCATATTCTCTGCTGCAGTAAAATGTTTTCATTGGCAAAAACAGTATCCTTTCATCCTGTTCACAGCTCAAAAATTTTGCCCATTCTCTGAGGGCATGATTTCACACTTGTGGTAGATGAAAACCACTTGCAGATGACTCCACGAGACGTTTATTGATCCGAGACGATGGGTGTGGGGGCATGTGGAAAGCAAAAACTGCAGCAAAAAACAACAAAGACACTGTCGGGACGCATGCTTGAGACCAACGCAAGCATATCTATGTACTCACGAGCGGATCAGATCAGCACGGCAATCTAGTGTGTAATTGATAACAGTCTTTTTTCCTCTGTATGCAAGGTAGACTTAATTAATACCACATAGAGAGGAGATTCTTTCTGGACAAGTCTGACATATTTATCACGAGACGTCTGGATAAGGCACTCTGGAGTTCATCACAGACGGTGTCTAAACAATAACCTGCCAGATGTGTTACGATCTTTTTTCTGAGGCAGCAGTTCCCATCAACGGGCAGAAGCAATTACTAGAGGTTATCACAGGTCATCAACTGCAGAGCGCCGCAGATTTGGATTTCCTCCATCTTCAAGCTTCCTTTTCTCCATTTAAATATACAGATTCCTGAATAATATGTAAAGAAAATACGTTGTTTACATTCTGAGAAGTTAAAAAAAAGAGTGAATTTTAAGAATTTTTATTAGCGCTCATGGCTTTGGAAATTGCATGTGTCATGTCTGTCTATCTGTTGCCATCCCAGAATGCATTGCCACTTCATGCAGTAACATGATCTAAATAAAATCCAGATGTACTCCACCAATTGGTCTAATTCCTTCAAGCCTCGATATTTCACATTGCATATATTAATCATCTGAGGCATGTCACAGATTTCTGCACTGATAACAACATCCCTCCCTTCAAACGACAGCTGACTCATTCCAATCAAACCAGTGGGGCGCTTAACAAAACAATGCTGTGGAAAGGGAGGGAGACAGACATTTCCCGGGCTGCTGCACTCAAGTGACAAAACATTAAGTGCTTCCACATTTAGTTTATAAAACTGCGGTTTCTGTTATCTGATTCAAAGAACCAACCACAAGCTTTAGAGGTCAATTCAGAGGGTTTTTTAAATAAACACTAAGAAAGGTCATACAAAAATATTCTATTACCATCTTCAGAATAACACACGATATACACCCTTAAAGTTATGGCTGATAAGAGCTTCGAATTATATTATTCTATACAAGACAACAGGTGTGGACCTGCCGAGGTATCAGGTTTTTTGGCATTAAGCTTGCCAAGATAATCTGTTACTGTTGGACAGTAACATTTTCACATGCAAAAACGTTCGGTTTTCACACAATAACTCTTAACTTGGTTCAACCTGCTGTTATTTATCTTCAATGGCAGAATCCAAGACATTGTCAGCGCAGTTCATGAAGAGCCCTTCTCTTGTCCTCAGGCTGAAAGCCTCTCTCCAGGGTCCTGAAGCATGGGCTCTAGGCCTAGAGTTGGTCCAGGGCAAGGGGCCAAACATATCAACAAGCCAGTGCCCTCTCTGTAGGGCCCCACGATCAGTCCTCCTCTGAGGAAAGCTGGGCCCCATCATCATGCACCTCTCTGTAGGCTGCCAGTGGGCCTCCTTCTGGGTTGTAACTCTCCATCTTGAAACTCAGACCATCTGCCAGCTTCTGGGCAACTTGTTTGGCCTGCAACTCCTGAAATGAACAGTATACACAATACCATAAATGTACTACTTCCTGAATACAGAACGAGGCAGAAACACCCACACACACACAATAACTCTTAACTTGATTCAACCTGCTGTTATTTATCTTCAATGGCAGAATCCAAGACATTGTCAGCACAGTTCATGAAGAGCCCTTCTCTTGTCCTCAGGCTGAAAGCCTCTCTCCAGGGTCCTGAAGCATGGGCTCTAGGCCTAGAGTTGGTCCAGGGCAAGGGGCCAAACATATCAACAAGCCAGTGCCCTCTCTGTAGGGCCCCACGATCAGTCCTCCTCTGAGGAAAGCTGGGCCCCATCATCATGCACCTCTCTGTAGGCTGCCAGTGGGCCTCCTTCTGGGTTGTAACTCTCCATCTTGAAACTCAGACCATCTGCCAGCTTCTGGGCAACTTGTTTGGCCTGCAACTCCTGAAATGAACAGTATACACAATACCATAAATGTACTACTTCCTGAATACAGAACGAGGCAGAAACACCCACACACAAGTGGCAAACATGCACAGGTCTTATACTCTCTGCTGGGTGTATTCAAGTAGTACTACTTCCTCTCAACATCTTAAAATAGTTGAAGATTTTGTGGGATAGAACGTTTTTGAGGCCTCATATGCTTTGAAATGTCATTTATGTATATCCCTTTGATCATTCAAATCTCAGTTTCTATCAGTCTGCTTTCAGCAAGACATCTTCAACCTACCAGGTGTTTTCTGGTCTGCTCTTGCAGAAGGTCAGCCGACTCCTCTAATGACAGCAGCTGGGCAGGACTGTGGTGCAGGGGTGGAAGCTGGGCCGCAGTGATGTCATCCAGGTGTTTTCGGTCTCGTTGTCTTCTGGCCTCTGCAATAAGTGGTGTGGTGCTGCCAGAGGCCTGACTAGGTGATGAAGACTCGGATTTCACAGCTAACCTAAATAAAACACAGACACTTTTAACCAAAGTTAATGTTAATGTATTTACTTAACATTTTCCAAACCCAAAAGACTTTGGCTCATCTTCAAAACACATATTAACGAAGCCTGAGAGGTTTCTGACCCAGTCCAGGTAACCAGAGCTTACCAGATCCAAAAAGGTAAATTGAATCCATATAAATAAAACGTTTTAAGCGCTGTGAAGAAATATAATCACTTGATATGAAAGGTAGGACAAACCTCATTGGTTCTTGTGCATCATGCATTCACGTTTGAGCTTCCATGTTTATCATACCTGCATGTAATGTGCTCAATGTGTATCAATCATTGTTTCAGGGTATCAGCAGGACTTGAAAAATCAAATCTAAGACTTTTTAAAGGGGTCATATGATGTTGCTAAAAAGAACATTATTTTGTGTATTTGGTGTAATGAAATGTGTTTATGCGGTTTAAGGTTAAAAAAACACATTATTTTCCACATACTGTACATTATTGTTTCTCCTCTATGCCCCGCCTTTCTGAAACGCGTCGATTTTTACAAAGCTCATCTTTCTGAAAAGTGAGGTATGCTGTGATCGGCCAGCTATCCAGTGCATTGTGATTGGCCGAATACCTCAAGCGTGTGACGGAAATGTAACGCCGCTTACCATACTGTGATGCCCTGTCCGGCTGGAGCGATGAGACAAAAACATTAAAACCCATTATAAACGAGGCATTTGTTGCATCCAGTGGGGACATAATTACGGATTATAATGACTTATACTGTCTTTTTACGCACTGCGTTGCATCGCGCCGCGTAAACATAAAACCACGTCTGCATTTGTGATCGGAGAAATGACAAACAACAAGCGCTACTCTACACTGCCCAAAACACGAGTTTGAATCGTCAGTGGCAAATTCTTTAAATATAATAAAATCGCATCATATGACCCCTTTAAGACATGTAAAATAAAATTAACACCATATAAGCGGGATAGAGCAATGTCTATGGTAAGTTTTTTATAGCCTTAAATTTAATGCAACTAAATTTTAGACTTTTTAAGGACCCACGGAAACCCTGTTGTTTAGATGTAAATAAAAATCTCTTCACAAGACTTGGATTAAACCACTTGATTCATACAGATTCATTTTACAATGCCTTTTTAAGAAATTTTTTGATGATCTAACAATAACAAAAATTAAATTTTTGTGTGAACTGTCCCTTTAATGTATTATATTTCAGCTTATTTTCCAAGAAAACACAAAGCTATGCAATGGCAGCATAGTTCCACTCACTGGTTTGGTTTGAATCTGGGCTTCCTCATATTCACACTTTTCTCTGTCTTCTCCAGAACTTCTATGTAATGTGGTTTCTTCTGTTGCTGATTACCCTGAAAGGGCTTACTAGGAGACAGAGCTTTTATGGTGTCTTGGTAGGAGCCACTGTTACTTTCATCAAGAGTTACTCGTCCAAACACCTCCACAAGCTCTGTGTCTTTCATCAGTGAAGCTGCTGCATTCCCACCGGCTGTTTGTAGCGTTTCAGCAGGCTCAGGCTGGGATGTCAAAGACTCCTCTTGGCCCAACAGACCACCATTTTCCTGTATGTTAGCCGCATCGATATTGACATTGGCTTGGTTTCTGTCATGGGATGGGATAATCATGTCCAAATTGGATTCTAAATGCTTATCTGTGCTTCGCTTGGCAAGGGCATGCTGATATTTAGCCTGAAACTCTGTCCGGACAGAGATTAAACTTGCTTGTTTTCTCTCCTCCTCCTCCAGATGTCCAAGTGCAATGTGTACTTTCTCCACAAAGTCAGCAATCTTCTTTCCCTTATCTGGAAGGCTCTGAAGAAATCTCCTGAAGAAATCATAAACAGTACAAATCACATTTAATCATATTTATTTACATAGCACAACAGAATGTTTTAAAGCAGCTTCACAGTAATAAACGTGAAAATAACAGTGTCCATGCTGCACACTATTGATTAATCATTTCAACAAGGTATCAAATTAATTTGTATTACATATAATTGGGTCTTTTTGCGTTTAATTATAAACTGTCCCAACTGTGTGACACTGACAGGATGCACTGATCTATGTTATTTAATAGACTAATAAGAAGGTGAGGGCGCCAAAGGATTTGGAAAGATCCAGAATATTTAATCAGCATAATAATCTAGTCAGAAATCTTAAATCCTAATTTAGCTATATATATACACATCATGAATTATGTATTCAGGAAACACTAAATTAAAATAAATGAAAAGCATAAAAAACACTTACTTATTAGACAGTAACTTTTCTTGTCGTGACAGTATCTCCAAGAGCTGATCTTTACTCTTGCTGCTCAGATCACCCACTTCCCCTTGGCGCGCTGTCCACGCCGACGACATGATCAAATCTGTGAAAAATAAACCAGTAAAATCTCACACTGGCACGTTCACCCTAGTCTTCATGACTGATCATCATACAGGACGTCAGAAATTCACTTATACCGCCATGTGTCAAAATAAGCAATGGCAATGAAGTAAGCGACGATAATACCACACCAGATATGTCACATTCATTACAAAATAAAAGACCCAAAGCAAAAACTGTCAATCGGAGTTCTACATTTTGTCATTCTCAACAAGTTTTTGTAAAATTACATTTTGTTAATTTCTGATTTAGAAAATGCTTACAATAAAACGTCAAGTTTGGTGTCCGTATTTCATTGTTAAAATCGTCGATTACTCGTGAGTAGGGTTGCCAACTTCAGAAAAGGAAAATAAGGGACAATCGTGGTTTTTCATAGAAAAATAAGGGACAGAATAAGGGATACACACACAGGCCTATTATATATATATACACACACACACACACACACACACACAGATTATATATATATACACACACACACACACACACACACACAGAGGTATATCTTTTAGATTTGTAATGTTTTTTTAAATGGAGTCTCTTATGCTCATCAATGTTGCATTTATTTTATCAAAAATACAGAAAAAAACAGTAATATTGTAAAATATTATTGCAATTTCTAATATTGGTTTCCTATCTTATTATACTTTAAAATATCATTTATTTCAGTGACGCAGCACTGAATTTTCAGCATCATTACTCCGGTCCTCAGTGTCACACGATCCTTTTATAAATCATTCTTATTCTGATTTATTATCAGTGTTGAAACTGTTGTGCTGCTTAATATTTTTTTGGAACCTTGTTTCCTAAAAAAAAAAAAAAATTTAAAAAAAAATAAATTATTTACTTATTATACATTTTTCGCACATAATGCAGTTTTTA